TTATATTATAGGAAAGGTAAAGAAAAGATTAGAAGAATCGGTCCAACACCGAACACGCGTCTCTACTCCACTTTCCTTAAATCTCTTCATTAACCACTTTTAATTAAACCCACCGATTTCGCATGTAATTTTAATTTCAGTTAATACTTAACATGAATTGTTTAGTGAATGCCAATAATCAAGGAAAACATATGTAACAAAAATATGATACCAACTGCAATAATACAATACAATAAGAGCATCAGATAATCGCCAGAGAAAACATAAATCAAATCCTCTAAGAATCTCTAAAACACTACTGATTCCAAATTACATTATTAAAAAAAAAAAAATGACAAACATTGAATCCAAAAGAATTCCCTACCGAATCAATCAGTATGGATCTACATCAACAAAGCGGCGACCACCACGACGAATGTTCCGGCGACGGCGACTCTACTGACTGAAGCAGCGTTCGGAGAGTCGGTTGGGGGAGATAGCGACTGAGCAGGTCCGGCTTCTCCAGAGGGAGTTGTGCTCGGAGCTCCTGTGGGGGTGGAAGCAGTCGGAGGAGCTGGCGGAGAGGCGGTGGAGGTAGGAGATTCAGTCGGCGGCTGACTAACCGGAGCGGTGGTAGGAGCTGGAGAAGGTGAATCGGTTACGGGTGATGGTGCTGGTGCGGTTGCTCTTGGAGATTGAGCTGGGAGGGGAGATCTGGTCGGAGCTGGTCCCGGAGCTTGAGCAACGGCGGAGGACGCCATGAGAGCGAGGAAGAAGAAAACGACGACGGATTTGGAAGCCATTGTGTTTTCTAGTCTTTGTAGTCGTAGAATGCAAAATAGAGATTGGCAAAGGAACTTATATTACACGGAAATGAAGAGACAAAACAGGGTTACTTTATATAGTGGGGAGGGTTTAGTGTTGATGTCTGTATTTCTTGGAAATTTCAACTCTACATTTTATTTTAGAGTTTTTTAATATTTTAAAAGAATGCCATAAATTTTGTTTGTAATTTTAGTTTGGTCCCAAGTTTCTCTTAGATAAAGACTGATAATAGTTTTACTTTTTACAAAGAAAATTCCATAAATATTACTCCCTTACTCTACTGACTGAAGCACGCAGATTAAAGAAATTTAATTTTTATAAAAACATCATTTAAT